TATTACCCCAACGACCACCATCGTGTAATCTTCTGCTTGCGCGACGGGGCCACAACCAGAAGAACTTTCACAAAAGAGGTTGGAGGGTAAGTCGCTCTGTGGGAAGTTCCCTATTGTGCATACCGCGGCAGGGTTGCTCGTGCGGAAGACTGCTTGCTTATGTGGTGGTATGTAACAAGCGCAGGATGAATCGAGAGCGCCATGCTGAGATGTCCATGAGATACATCAAAGCAAAATTGAGAGTAGCAGTCACTATCTTTTTGGTCAGCCTCAAGTATGTCTTCAGCATCTCTGTCAGTGCCATGCTGCCCTTGTTGACTTGCCCTGCCGATCATCGGAGTATTTGATAGCGCCGGTACAGTCGGCTCGTACAGGTCATCACCGACACCGCCATTGATGACATCTTCGGCATCAAGCGCACCTATATTCGCGTTCCTCGCACTCGCATGGAAACTGGATAATTTCCCTATCAGCACACAGAATGCCCATCTCGCAGCATGCAGCATGACGCTCATGGTCTAACTCATGATGGCAGTCTATGGCTGGAGCTTCCACTTTCGCATCTTTCATATGCGTCACCCAAATTCCCCAGACATGGTGGTCAGCCAATTCGGACTGGCACTCCAGTTTCCAGATTGCTCGCCGCCAATGGCAGGACATTGCGCTTCCTAGCCTTCCATATTTCCCAGGATCTGCTGAGGCCAAAGTGGGGTTTGTCAGCTCCGCTAGGCCCTGCATGCATCGGCGTTCGCGGTTTTCCTTCTCAATCGTAAATTACCAGCCCATCGTTCAACCTCCGTATATTTCGATTGGAAACAAGGAATATATGATGGCCCTTTTGTATGGGGTGGTCGAATCTGCCCTTCGAAGATCGCCGTTGGTAGAGTGTAGCTCTGAAGGCAGGTATTTGACCTGTTGTATGGATCCGACTTCTGAGTCAGCGGTAACTTTGACGGCCCCGTGCTTTTGTACATTTCGAGTCAAGCATGGGTGTGCTCCACAAGGTCTGGCTAATCCTTTGACATCTGCGCACAGGCCACTGCGCCCTCTACTTGACAAGTCGTCCTAGTGCGGAAGGATATGACTGGTCTGGGTGTAGATGGGAATGGCTCTTCTTATCCACGCCAGAGTCGCTCTGAGCTGCTTCTTCCACGCCTTATTGTCATCACCTTCCAGTTCGAACCGAAAGGCGTGCTTGTCAACACCATCAAGCTGGTTGGCATTCTGCATTCCGCCTAGGACGGTCGGCATTGACAGCCCATCATCATGGCTACCCCGGGCGCTTCCGACTTAGGCCAGTTCTTCGACTTCGGGGAAGCAGCTTTGTCAAACACACAGCAAGAAACAAATGTGTCAAACGTGCAATCCGACAATGGGTAAGTCACACCCTGCTTCGACAAATTATATGCATGTCCCAGGAGGACGGCACGACACTCGAGCACATTACCCACCATCTCGATGTCGTTAAACTGATTGCGATGTCTATTGCCATTCAAAACAGTAACTTTAGCTAAGACTCAGCAGTTACCTAGACCAGGAACAACTCCAGAGCATCACCAGCACCGGACCAGAGTTCAACACTGACTTCTCCACCCATCTTCCACGATACCAAAAACCAACTCATCCATGTGATTACTGCCGGTCCAAAGGTCTTGAATGTTTCATCTACGACTCCGATGGCACAGGACGAGTTCGATGCTCACCCTGCAACGCTCTCTTCCGACCATGCAGTTTTAGCGACCCCGAAAGGATGCCAGCTCTTAGACAAAAGACTGCTCTAGACACGCTGGATGTCGTCGGCGAGGATGACGAACGATGCTTTGGCGGACTCACTGGCAAGAAGCAGATGCGATCGCTGGGCCACCTGGGTCCAATTGAAGATGACGTCGCCGATGAAGAGCGTCCTAAGAAGGGCGCAGCTGCAAATCGATTTCCCCGACCTGCTATCAAAATCCTGAAGGATTGGATGTTGCAACACATTGACCATCCTTATCCTACCGAAGAGGAAAAAGAACAGCTCAAGCAGCAGACGGGACTCTCTATTGGACAGATATCGAACTGGATGGCGAATACTAGGCGAAGGCAGAAAGCTCGTCCAAAGCGCAGCTCATCGCCAAGCATTCGACCCTCAACTGAAGCGATTGATATTCCCGCGGGTAGAACTTGGGAGTCACTCAGTACGTATCCAAAGTCCGAGCCTGGCAAAGCCCATAAGTTCATGGCGTCTGCTACTGCCGGGAGGTTCTTAACCTTCCGCGTGGAGAGCGGACGTTGTGATGACGCTTCAGGCTCGCCCTTCGGCCGCTCACAAATGCCGCCGCAGAAGCAGAATTGTTTCGGTTAACTCTCGACAGATCCCTTTGAACGATGGAAACACTCTCCCCCTGAGAACGAACCTGCTCCTATGACTGCTATCGCCCAGGCTGTTGAAACTTTTGATCCGCCAACAACTGCCAGTGCTAGCACCAGCTATCGGAAAGATACCTCAAATGACAGCACTGGCAGTTTCTCGATCTTCAATAAAGCCCCTTCGATCTCGTCTCTTGAGACCGGTCTTACAGGGATGTCATCAGGATCGCTCGGCTCATTTAATTCGGCTTACTCGTATGGTTCTCGACACTCTCTGGGATCGATGAACAGCTTGAAGTCAAAGGAGAGGCGCCGGCGACGACGACTTCCGACACGTGCGCCGAAGGCCGATGCCAAAGACAGTCCAAGGCTGTATCAATGTACCTTTTGTACGGATCGCTTCAAGTCAAAGTACGATTGGCAACGTCATGAGAAGAGCCTTCACTTATCCCTGGAGAAGTGGATATGTGCGCCCTTAGGAGAGGTCATTATCGACAAGGCAACTGGTAAACCCAAATGTGTGTATTGCGATGCCTTGGAGCCCAGCAAAGAGCACTTGGCAACCCACCAGCATGGTGCTTGTGAAGACAAAGGCCTTGAATCTCGAACGTTCTACAGGAAAGACCATCTCAGGCAGCATCTGAGACTAATGTAAGTGGTACTTGAGATCATCCCCTGAGGCACGAGTACTCACACCCCACAGGCACGACTGCAAGATGACAGCAAGCATGGAAAGCTGGAAATCCGAAGCCCAATATATCAAGTCACGTTGTGGATTCTGCCAGATGAAATTTGACAAATGGCAAGACCGCGTTGATCATCTAGCTAAGGAGTTCCGTAATGGAGCAGATATGAAGACATGGAAGGGCTGTCGAGGTTTGGAGGCTCATGTTGCCATCCACGTCACGAACGCGATGCCGCCGTATCTCATTGCCAACGAAAGCAAATCTCCCTTCCCATTTTCGGCAAGCAATTCGTCAAGCGTACAGGTAAGACTTTTGATTTACATCTATTTCAGCCCTTGTTCGAAGTCGACGTTGGCTGTGCTGAAGCAAGGAGACAATCAGGCTGACACAAAACAGCAAGGTGCATTGCGGCTCGAAAGTAGAGACCTGGAGTATCTCATACCCAGCAGACTGAGCAGTGGACAAAGCCCCACAAACGACTTGTTCGTGGCATATCAAGATGATCGAGACATGGACCGAATCGGACCAATTGTGCTCACCACACCGAGTTACTACTCTGCCACCGAAACAACACAAGTGAACCCCAACGCGACGTGCTGGGAAATCTTGACGCTCAGGCTGGGACGATTCGCACGCGAATACATCGAGAAGCACGGCAACGCCAGCGCCATCACAGATGAGATGCTTCAGCGAGAGGCTCGCATGATCTTATACAGCGACGCAGACGGTTGGGAACAGACGGCTGCTGACAATCCGGAATGGCTCAATTTGTTCAAGAAGGCGCACGGCATCGATACCTCGCTCCCCGCCCCAAGTAGGTTATGATTCTCGATATATGGCCTCGTATTATGTAACACTCAAGTTCTCTTGCTAACAAATTCTTCAGACATCGACGCCCATCACGAGGTTTATGAAGATCTTGGCATCCACTCCAATAGCAAGGTCGACGCAAGCTTCGATCTCAGCAACTTTGAATGCTGCGGCGAGTCTGTCACCAACGGTAGCAACATCGATTACCACTGCCGGCTTGCGGGTAGCATGAAATTTGTACCCAACGCACACGAACACTTCTCAGGGCGCCAATCGCCACAGAGCAATCCCGGCCTCTCTGGATCCGCATCCGCGTCGCCAGGCTCCCTGGCCTCCCGTGCTGCAACAATGTACAATCGGGAGCAAATAGCACCATGGTCTGGCGACGACCTCGCTCCACTGCTCGCGCAGTGCTCCGCCGCTGGAGAGTCTGTTTACGAGTGCGCCAAAGTCGGTCTTCGATCCTTCTCACCTCTCGATCCCCAAGCCTGCCCCGTCGACAACGACATCGCCATGCCCGCCATTCAAGAGAAATCATGCACCAAGGCCGGCGACATCATCCCAGAGACTGGCGACTTCCAGTTCCCCAGCTGGGACCAGCTACCCGAGGACTTCCAAAACCCGACGACGAGCGCGGGATTCCATTCAACGATCCCGATTAGCACAACGGGGTTCACGATACCGAATATAGAGAGCACAGCGGGCGATGTCATGGCGTGGGATAATGAGGAGATGAATTTTGCGATGGATATGGATCTTGATTTGGATATGGAGATGGATATGTTTGGCAAGTGTTAGAAGGAAAAGTGCTTTCCGGTCTCCGCGATAAGATGGGTTGTTCCTCTCTCTTTCTGGGAATCGTGGGTTAATACATGGTTGCGTATGGCGTATTTTTTGCTTTCAATCACGCGCGACACGGCTTTACGTTTACAAGACATCTTCAATAAACATAGATCCAATAATGAATTCAGAATAGACATAGACCCAGTCCCTTCATGTGAGATTCCATGGTATCACCTCATGGTGTCCCCACTTCAACGTACCACTACTCTTGTGGAAGGTCACATCCACAGCACAAGCACCAGTGGTACTTCTCTCAATTTCCAGTACGTATAAATCGTTTGAAAGTTTCAGAATGACAATACAAAACCTCCAGGCGCGATGGCAGAGTGGTTAATGCGCAAGACTTGAAATCTTGTTCCCTTGGGAGCGTAGGGTGAGTTGTCAGATCCTGCGTGAACGAACGTGTTTATTCCTAACATCCTTTCAAGTTCGAACCCTACTCGCGTCGTCTTCTTTTTGCGTCCTTTTTGTGCTACTGCAAAGTGGCGGGCGTGTTGTAGCAGGGTATAGTGAGGGAGTTAGCATCATTCGGCAACATAGCAGTAACCGCAAATCATCTGGAGCTAATCACCAACAACGTCTGATAATGTAAACTTCACTTCATTCAATCATTTTTTTGTCGTCATCCTACTCTTTCCTCCACCATTTTACAGCTGATCAGCACTAACCCTCTGCACAATAATTCCACTTGCCGCACCACCTCCGTTACATATCGCTGCAGCACCATACTGCCCAACCTCAAGCTGATGCAGCAGAGTGACCAATATCCTGCTACCTGAGCTTCCGAGTGCGTGGCCCAGCGCAATAGCTCCTCCACGTGGGTTGACGTTGTCGGAGCCTAGACCTAGGATCTTGGCGTTGGCCTTGATGACGGCGGCGAAGGCTTCGTTAAATTCCCAGATGGCAATGTCTTCTTTCTTCAAGCCTGATTGCTTGAGGAGCTTCTCAACGCAGGAGGCGGGGGCGATGGGGAAGTCGATTGGGTCTGGGAGGTGTTAGTGGAAATAAGTAGATAGAAGAAGGTAAACGCGTACCAACAGCGGCATCAGCGTAGGTGATGATCTTGGCAAGTACGCGGCTGTCTTTGCCATATTGCTGTGCGATCTCCTTGCTGCCGAGTACGAGTGCTGATGCACCGTCGCTCAACGGCGAGCTGTTTGCGGCAGTGACAGTGCCGTTAGGTCCCTTTTCGAAAGCAGGCTTCAATGTAGCGACCTTGTCCAGCTTGAGCTTGTTGTACTGCTCGTCCTCCGAGATGACCACATCTCCCTTCCTTCCCTTGACGGTGACAGGTACAATCTCGTCCTTGAACAGGCCGTCCTTGTACGCTTGCTGTGCTCGCTTATATGTCTCAATGGCATAATCGTCCTGATCCTGTCGTGACACTTCGTACTTCTTGGCTGTGTTCTCTGCACAGTTGCCCATGTGAATCTGGTTGTAGACGTCCCATAGACCATCCGCAATCAGGCCGTCCTGCAGCTTCTGGTGTCCGAACGGTGGCTGTTGGCTTGCGCGGTTGAGATAGTATGGTACTCTTGTCATGTTCTCCATACCTCCGGCAACCTGTGCTTCTGCCTGCCCAAGCTCGATGGTCGACGCAGCGATGTTCACGGCCTTCAGACCAGATGCACATACTTTGTTGATTGTGGTGGCCTCGACATTGGTAGGGAGGCCGGCGAAGATGGCGGCCTGTCGAGCTGGTGCCTGCCCAACTCCTCCACCGAGCACGTTGCCCATGTATACAGCATCTATCGAGGAGACTGGGACTTTTGACTTCTCGAGGGCATCCTTGATGGCGGTGGCACCAAGTTGTGTGGCGGATACGGTGGTGAAGTTGCCGTTGAACTACTGTCATCAGCTTTGCTATACATAGTATGTTTCGGAGAGACTCACCACTGCAGTTGGCGTCCGACTCGCGCTTATGATGTATGCATCTCTAATTTCTTTACGTGCTGGCGCCGAGCTGCTGAATTGCCTCTGGATGCTGGCCAGTCGCTGTTGCGGCCGAGAGGCCATTCTCATGGATGTGCGGAGAGCTGCGGAGGACATGGCTTAGACGTCAATATTGCTTTCGAGGACAAGTTGCGGAGAAGAAAGACTCTAGCGAGTCGAAATAGCGACTTTCACATGGCGGCGAGTTTCCGCTGGACCAAAGGCATCGGATCTACCCCGGAATGTGGAGTATGCTGGCGCTGTGCCGAGGTGTCTGAACACGGCACCAACCGGCTTAACGCGTCACTGCGCCCACCCCTGCCATCTGGCAGACGACATGACAAACTCACTTTTGTGATGTCGACGTCTTCATTGAAAGAAAAAAAAGGATATGAAGACGCTCGCTGATAGTATTTCAAGTTCCTAATGCTCCTATTTTGTGATCCACGTGGAATGTGTCAACATGTAAAGCGTGACTTCCTCGTTCTACATAACACACCGGAAACTCTTCTCACTCAAATCGGGTGCAACATCCATCATATTCTTCATTATAGTTCCTTCACTGGCTGTCTTGCACCTTGCGCCACGGCTCGAGCACTTGCTTAGTGCCTGTCGTTTTTCGGTATTGCAAAATGAAGGCGAACACGCGCCCTGATCAGTCATGTACACTGATGCCGACTATCACAGTAGTGATCACAAAAACACAAATGTGGCGCCGTCCTTTGGACCCTGGAATTTTAGGCTTCAGGCTGCGTATATGCGGGTGATCGGGAGTCTATTGGACATCATCACCCGCTTTTGACAGTTGACAGGTTTGTCCTCGCAACACTTGTACGAGGTGTGATGAATCCTCGTTCACAGCAGTATCGGCCTCCGCTCCAGACTTCATCCCGGCAAAAAAATGTTCCCGCAGACCGCTCTTACGTTAGACATCTCCATGGCTTTCATTCGCTTCTGTTCCCGTATATGCTGTCGTCTGCCCACTCAAAATTATGCTACACGTCCTACAGACTGTACCTGCATCAGTGCCATGACAATTAAGCACCGTCTTCCGTTCCACGACTTAAACAAACTATATAGAACTGTACATCGCAATGCGGGATCCTACAGGACAGCTGACTCGCTCTCCTTCACATCGATAAGCAAATAGTGCGGGCTACTGCAGTACTTCCCTATGCTACGACCATTACTATTGGCCTGTCCCGAACATCTCGGTTGAAGCTGTATCACGACATGAAGGATTCAATAAATCTTAGCTTCAAGATGAGGCGGCGGATGGCAGATGAAACCGTTCACAAGACCCGAGCCTGAGCGACTCTCCCACGATATAAGAACCAGACCAGTCTACCAATGCCAATCCTCTCAAAAGCTTCAACTCAAATCCTCAACTCGAATCCAGCTTTACACATTGTCCAGCAATTGCCCCAACGTCCATACCTCCAGTACATTTTTCACATTTCTCCCAAATCACCGCCTACGCTACTCTTTTCAAACCACCAACGGCACCTTACTCACTATGCGCTCCCTATTCCTTCCCCTCCTTCTCCCCGTCCTAACATCCGCCGTCGCCGAAACAACCGTCCACAACAAATGCTCCTACCCTGTATACTACTCCGCCAACGACGCCGACGGCCCTTCGCCTGAAAGGTACATATCCACCCCAAAAAGCCCATTATCGTGATTCTCAAGTAACACTTCAACAGTACGTCGATCTCCTCCTCCAGCCTAGCCAATCTACGATCCATCAAACCCCCATTTTCCCCTTCCCACCCATTCCACCCATCCCCAACCCCCCACTAACGTTCTCTCCATAGACGTCACAACCGTCGGCCCGGGCAGCTACATCATGCAAAGCGAATGGTTCGACGGCATCACGGGCACCGCGCTGAAGATCACCAAAACCCGCGACGGGCTGTGGGCCGGGAAGCCTGTGCTCAACTTTGGCTACACGATCAAAGATGGCGAGGTGTGGTATGATTTGAGCACCGTGAATGGGTATGATTGGTGGGGCGAGGTGTTGGTGCTGGATGGGGAGAGGGAGGTGAGTTTGAATACAAATTTCATACTGCATTGGATTGGATGGGATTTGAGGAAGAAGAAGAAATTTGGGTTCATTTGGTGTGAGAGCTTTTTGACTGACGATGTGTATGTGATAGGGCGCAGAGACGATCGTGTGGAAAGGACAGCCGGGGCCGAATCATGTGGCGCATTTTAAGGGGGAGTTGGATTTGGTGTTGACGACTTGTGCTTAAGATCTGAGAAGAGGAGTATAGGGTAACGGAGGGACGGAGTTTGGTACGGTTCTGGCACACATGGGCTAAATATCGGATTGTAGTGAACCGAACTGAATGTATACGTGTTGTTTGAAAAACCAACTCCTTGAGTGTGCTGATGTTTGCTATGAACATGAGATATAGATAAATGCAATGTGCCTAAGAAATCTAAAACGCCATACCCTTCCGTGAAAATAGCATAAGCCATAAGTGGTGAATTGGATGAATGCCGTACCGTTCGCAATGCAGGTGCCCCATGCCCAAACGCCGTGGGTATAATACGCAGCTATTGTGCGGAGATCTAAGATGAAGAGAGGTGGAAATAAAAGAGGGGTAGATAGTGATATCAACCACCTCCTCTACCTCTCCCTCGTCCTCTTCCGCTCCCACTCGCTGTCCTCGCCATGGGTATGCCGCCCCCGTGCCCAGCTACATTCTCGCCATGCCGCCCCAGGGGGGTGTTGCCTCCCGCATCGCTCCAACCAGCCATCGAGCTCTGTGCACTCATCGGCACTCCGCCCATGCCCAGTCCGCCATTCCCAACCTCGAGGTGCGGTGCCATGCTCCTCACATGGCTTGTGATCTCGTTGACAGGTTCTTGGAATCCCGGCGCTTGGACCTGGTAGTCTCTCGCTTTGATGGGGTGGCATGCGGCTTGTAGGAGTTTCTCGTTGAGTTCGTCGTCGAGCGGTGCGTCGCGAAGCATGAGTTTGAGATCTTGATCTACGTCCTGAGCCGAAAGTGCAGGGGGTGGGGGTGCCGCAGCGTTGGCCTTTTGGAACACCTTCGCGTCGAGAACAAAAGGCTGGTTATAGATGAAGGGGATGTGGCCATTGGCAACGGCTGCCGCAGACGGATTGAAAGCCGAGCGTGTGGCGCCTCGGGTCGCGTGCGGGTTGGAGGATATTTGGCGCGTCATGTCGGTTGCGCCAGGTATGTCGTCTGAGTCTTGGTCTTGGTCCATCATGTCGCCGTTCTCAGAGGCGTGGTCACCGTTTGCGCCATTGCCATTCGTGACATGGCCGTTGGTGGCGGCTTCATGCGAGCCCGCATCGGCGTTCTTCATTTTGGTGAAGAAATGTGAGGCGGCAGTTGTGGCTTGGTTCATAGCCATGTTGAGCTCTTTCTCGGTGAAGAGGCGGTCGATCGAGTATGCAGCTGATTCGAATTGGGTGTTGATAGTTTTCGCCTTGGCAACGTGGAAAGGCGAGCCCATTCCCATTTCGATGCGACCTGCAGGACC